AGTCCGTTTCCCACAGCCATGCTCGTGTACACACTTTCATGGGGCGCCACCAAACACCACCCGCCCATTAATTCTAGGGTTTCGATGGGGTGAAAACACATCGCACTTGGGCTATTTAAGCCGGGCACTATTGTCCTCTCCCTCCTCATCCATCATACCCCATCCTCTGCCTCCTCTGCCCTTCTTCTTCCTTCTTCTCCATCAAACCCGACCGAGCACTCGAGCCACCCCGCCACCATGCAGTACACCGCCCCCACCTACCGCTTCCCCCCAACCGTGCCGGAAAGGCTCTACCCGGCCGGAGTGTATGTAGAGAGAATCCTTAGGGTTTGGGCGATCTCGAGGTGGAGGGGCGCAAGGGAGTTAACGGAGTTCTTCCTTGCGGCCAGCTTCCGCCACCTCCCCCGCGGCTCTCCTCGGATGTACCATGTTGAGGAGGTCAACCACGACGGCGTTGTGGTTGGGCTCCTCGCCACATTCACTAACCCTTTCGATGCTTTCCATCTCCTCGGGCGAGCGTATTGGGTTGGTTGTGAGTTCATAGCTTTCACCACCTACAATATCTTCACCGACTTCCAGAGCATCTCCCCCAACAACGGTGTTATGCACACGCTCCCGTACCCCATCAACAATGGGAAGGAGTGAAGGGCGGCGCCCGGAGGAGCGAGGTGGCGTTGTTCCCCCAGAGGAGGAGGAGAAGAAGAGCCCGAAGAAGAACCCGCGTTTGGTGCCCTCCGATCTATCTAGCTTATCGTATTAGTTTTTTTAAGTAGTAATCGTTATGCTACTATTATTAAGTTGTATTAGTATTTTAAGTTGTAAGGCTATCGTGGAACTATGGGTTGCAATCGTTATGCTAATATATATATTGTGTGTTTCGTGCTATTATTTGAAGATTGCTATGGGTTGTTCTTGCTTATTATTTGTGTATTGCTATGGGTTGCTACGAGCCCGGGTTGCTACACCTCAATCTCACCACACACACACCATCTTCAAAATATTGGCCAAACCATGGACATGCAACTAGGAGCCCCATGCGAACCCACTATGGACATGCAACTAGGAAATGCAAACTAATTTACTTCATGCAACTCATTTAGTTCATGGAACCGTAGACATGCATAAACAAATTAATATTTGGTTTTATTGCATCAAAAAATGATCCATCACAAAATTTAGTGCAAGAAAAAGGCCAAAGTAAAAATAAGTAACATTTTATTTGCCGAAGTTAGAGGTGGGCTGGTGCCGCTACGCGGGTGGGCTGGTGCCCCTACGCGGGCGGGCTGGTCTCTATTTTGGGCATGGTTATTTTCTCAGGGCCCATTTTCTCACGGCCCAACATCTATTCGGCAGCCCAGTTTTGTTTTTTTACTAGAAACTGAATTTGGGTGTGTACTCTGTTAACTGAAGAACAAAAACAGAGGAAACAGAGCATGAACACTGAATAGGGCCCCTAAGAATATCATTACAATAATTCAAGCAAGTTTTGCTTCACACGAATTCAAGTTCATCTAACAAATGATCCCTGGCTAACTCAAACTACTGGGCACCCTTGAAACTAGCTGACTAACTAACTGAAACTATAACAAATTCTAGGGATTGATGAACATCAAGTAAAATAAACCCATAGCAATGACACAACCATAAAATGCTCCCGCCATCATATTTGCTTGCTGCTTCAAATCGATCAGATGCTTTAGTTGCTTGCCGATTTTCTTCAATTCACACTTCAGTTCTGCACTGTGCATCATCAGATCGGTTATGTCCGTCAAATTGGGGGCTTGTTCCACGGGGAAATTGAGCTCTTGGGTTGGGGTTGATCCCTCCAATTTCAACCTTTCAACATATTCATCGAGCCACTCAAAATGCCCACATTTCTTCAGAACCTGAAAACAGGGGCCCGGCGGCGCATGAATCCTAGATCCACCACCCAGATCCACCGCCCTAATTCGAGGGAAAAAACAAATCGGGAGAAATTAGACCATAGAATTGGTCAAGAACACAGATCTAACCTGCCCCGGCTGTGGCTTGCTCAAACATTTCACAAACTCGCGCCCACGGTTGCCATTTTCTTCCCTCACACAAGTCAAACGCTTGAGAGGCTCCATGCGCGGGCAATCGGGGCATCTTGTCAACGGTAGTGGACCGTACTGCGTCCATGATTGGCGGGTGGCTGAAGTCGAGCTAGACATCACTCGCCGGCGGCGCGCTTCGTTGCCGGAGCAGAGGAAGAAGAAGGTGGGAAAGGAAAGGGGCAGGGCAAGCAATGGAGGGGGGCGGGCTGGCTCGGGTCGGGGCACGCTGATGAGCACGGGCATGCTTGTGTGGATAAGTTGTGGGTCCCACCCGCATGCGAGTAACTGGTGGGTCCCGCGTGTCATAACTCAAATCGCTAACCCCTTGTGTTTTTCATTTCACGGTTAAACAGAGTCATGTCGCATTGGAGCTATTTACACGCTCAAGTGTGTCGCATCACAACCATTCACTCGAACAACGTCGCACTCAAGCCAATTCACATCAAAAACGTCGCACAGGAGCTATTGGCTCCATATGATAGACAAGAGAGCATGCAATGTTTAGACTGTAAGATATATTGAACGTTCGCTTGCTAGAAAATTTGTAGATCAAATTTCCTTGGCCTAGGAGAAGAGGTATTCATCTGTGTTGCCAAATGCACGCCAAGACAAAATAAATAAATTAGAGGAGTTGGTTGAGGTTGAAAGTTGAAACCCCAGCTCCCCAAGATGCTCTTCCAGTTCTTCCAAAAGGCATTAACCATTTCACTAGAGTACATACATGCGCTATAGGATTAAAGTATATGGGAAAGCAAGAATAATTATAGGACGGTTCAATTCAGGCCATCCCTCCATGGGAGAGTAACAGGACAACAAGCTCAATTTGGAGTCTGCTGGATCTATACGTTGATGCACTGTATTTTAGTTTCTCAAAGTTCAGCACGGCACGTGGGGCCAGACCACTTGACACCCTTGTCAATCAAAGCAACGGAGGATTCAAACTTCTCATCAGTCTCGGCCTACTCGAGCCCAGCCGCACCATCCAAAAGGCGGCTCGTAAAACCCAAACACGGGCGGGAAACTTTACCCTGATCCGTCGTAATTTTTGGGGAGATTTTCCCAACCGAAAGTTAGGCCACTTTCCCGCAAGTTGGCGTGGGGGGGAGCTGCTCACCGCAGTGCGCCGCTGGGCGCGCGTGGCGCGTGCGGCGGCGGTCGCTAGCGGTTCCTGCTTTTCTGTGCCGCCTTTTGTCATCCACGCTCGTGGCGGGCACACGACAAGTGCCTGCGTGTCACGGCCGCGCCCACGCGTCCGACTCCCGGCGCCGATGGCGACCGGCGGCCTCGATCCCCACCCCCTTGGACGCACATGGATGCCTGGATATTTGCATGTGGTTGCCTCGGCCGCCTTTTGTTGTGTGTGCTTAATCTGCGTTGATCGATGGTGATTCATGAAGTACTTTTTGTTAATTATTGCAGGCTGATGGGAGTCCATGGACCTGTTCTGCTGAAGTTCCTGTGATCGCTCCAAGTTAGCAGATGGGATCATCAACTTTTGTGCAGCGGTATAAACTGTAAAAAAAGTGCAGCAAGCTCATCCCACTGTAAAAAAAAGCGATCCGAGTGTAGCTCGATGCCACCTCTATGCCTTCACCTCAGCGGAGCAAACTTGTTTAAACCCATGAGCTTGTAAAAGCAGCAGCAAGGAAGTCGTTGATGTAGAACAGGAGACGACAACGGCCGCGATTTGTAAATCATCCCGGAGAAGAAAACGCCGAAAAATGCATGTAGAAATTCCGGAGTCCACTAAAGCCGGTCGAATTTAGACGGATCCACTGGAAACCGAAACCGCCCAGATCCCAGAGGACCCGTCGGAAACATAGCTCCACACGCCCTCAACTCGGGGAAAGGGCCGGAAGGACATTATTACTACACAAGGATAGCATGCCCCAAACCAGACATGAAGACTCCTTAAAGAAAACGCGAGACAAACGCTCATGCTACTGCACGCCAGACGGTTCTGATATCGAGCTCACCTCTGTCCAGGACCATGCACCGACACCCTCTTCTCTGGTGACTGAGCCAGGCTGCACGACTATAGAAGATCGCTGCGTTGGATCACCAGCGCCGCTGTCA